TGTTCCACATTTTATTTCCAAAACTACATTACAGAAATTAAATTCTGTATATATTTTTCAACCAATAAAATCTCATCTGAAGGTTTGTTTGATAAACAATAATTACTAGGGCAAATATTGTCAAAATACTTATAGATGGATATAGTTGTAGACCAACCACGTTATTTTTTGAACATTTAGAAAATAACAATAACTTCCTTCACCACTCCCACAAATTTGAGATGAAGATTTTACATCACTGTGAAATTAGATTTTGGATCTCCCTTACAGATATAAAAATAGAAGCAAACTGCTTCTGTGGGTTGAAAACAATTTCAGAAGCCAGTTTGATCCACATGTGTGTATCTACAGAGGAAGAGAGGAGCCAACCAACTAAAGCCTGACAAACACATTAGGCTGATTGACATAAAGTGTGTACACATCTCACATCACACTAAGAAAATTTAATTACTTGATAAAACAAACTTCACAGCAAGGAAAATTTAACATTTTATTGTTAATGTATATTTCTATGTTGCATTTAAAATAGACAGGATTTATATTTTATATATATAAGTGCGTAGGTATGCAGAAAATAGAAAAGAACACATTGGGTGCATAATCTGGGGTTCCTTAGTATTTTTGTTTTTATTTTTAAGAAGACAATGCTCCATACAGAAGTAGAGCTTATATTATAATAATATTTTTTGTTTAAAAATATGATTCCTTCGCTACATAAGAGTTCTCATGTTTCAAAAACGAGAGCCGAAATCATCCAAATAATTATTAAAATTAAGTTGGATTGTGGTGTTTAGTCCCGTTTCATCTTCAAGCGAAATTTTAGGAATAAGCTATCTCTCGGTTTACATGTATTTTTAGGCACGGTCTGTTACAGAATTCGTTATTGTGGGAGTGGCTAGACTATTTTCCTTCGTTAAGTGGTCAGAGAGTTAATTCTTATCAATAGATAATATATTCTTATATATATATATATATATATATATATATATATATGTGTGTAAAACAAATTTTAAAAAAGTAAAAAGTATATGAATTTTTATTTAGTTTTGAAAAAAATAGTAATCTCCTTTACATTTAATGTAAAATTATATTCACAACACGTTAAATAATAATTATATTTTTAAAAAAATATATATATATATATATATACACCAATTTGTAATTGGTAGGGATAATTCCAAGGAAGACATTAATCCAATAAGAGCTCAATGTAAATTACAGGGCAATATATAATAATATAATTATAAATCAAAAATACACCTTCGAATCCATATCAGTTATAATTTATTTCATGAATATTGTTATATTCATCTCTTCAAACAGATATACAGATATATAAGATAAAGGAAGGAAGAGGGAGATCAGAAGTAAAAAGAGTTAAAAAATTTTGTCCAATAAAGTCATGTTCTTTAAGACAGCAATCATTATCATATATGATCATAATTTTTTTTCCTTACCTGGTATATTTAACTTGTTCAACCCTTTTAATGAAAATTATTTTTCTAAGTCTTTCTATTTATTCATTTTTGCTATTGGCTCATCATTTACTTCTTTTTTTTCCTTTCACTCTTTCTTCTCTTAATCTTTAAATATTTTTTTTTTATATTTGTAATATATTTATTTTTTCTTTCTTCCTTTTTTATTATTAATATTTTTTCCTTTTTCTTTTTCCCTTTTTCCCCCTTTTTCATCCTGGTATATCTGTCTGGATGTATTGATTCCATTTCTTAAAACTTTCAATCTGAAGAGATGAATATAACAATATTCATTAAATAAATTATAACCAATATGGATTTTTAAGGTGTATTTTTGATTTATCATATATATATATATAATAAAAATCCCTTCTATTTTAAATGCAACATACATTTTTAAAATAAATAACTGTAATTCCTGTATAATATATGGACTGCACAAGTATTGTGTTAACCAGATATTTTTATTAAAATTTAAATTATATAACAGTCAGTTTCCACCCAGCACCAGATTGTGTTGTCATGAAACTCCCAGTCATGCTACCAGTGAAGCATAATATGTATATTTATTACTATATACTTAATAGCTGTTATATTACATCAAGCACTGTTTTACTAACACCAGCACTATGTGCAATATGTATATACATACACACACATATATATATATATATATATATATATATATATATATATATATAGAGAGAGAGAGAGAGAGAGAATAAATAAATATATATATATATTTATGTCTTTTACTGAGGCAATCATATTTTTGTCATAGCTAATTTTCAACTTTCAGAAGTGATGTTCCTTAAAAATATAAACATGACTGCATCCATGAAATGGATGGAAATTTCAAAACTTTTTCATTATGCCAAAATATGTAATGCTTGTTTCAAAAGATGAGTGCTAATACAAAGTTAATTGTATTCAAACCAACTGCAATAAATAACACTTCTATCTTGCTCTCTGCAAATGTCATATAAAGTGTCAGTTTCAGATTTTAGCATCAAATCTGTATTCTTGTTATTTACTTGATAACCTTAGCAATCAGCACAATTTATATTACCTTAGACTTCTCAATGCCTAGTCTTTATGCTAGTAATATGTAAAGAAAGGAGTTGGTCAACTCCTAATACTAACCGCATTCAAAAATATCACTTGATTATTTTGTAGTGGCATATTTTTAATAATAATTTTGTCAAAATTGGCTTACTATAGTTTATTGATTCTAAGTAACACTTATAGCATGTGTCTTAAGGAGGGTAAAAATTTGAAAACAAAAAATTGTGTTGCTATGGAGAAGGTATTGTCAACCATCAAACATGTGAATAGTGAAGATTTCTCACTGAACAGTTCTCCACAGTTGAGTAGACAAAGTGAAGTTGATAGCTATGAAATCATGACATTACTTGAGAAAATAACCAACATACTCAAAATATTCAAATTGAATTCCAATAATTATTTGTAACGTCTTTGTTATGTTAGCTGTTTTGATATGTGGCTTCCATATAAGTGAAAAAAACAATTTTGTGTGTGTGCATGTGTGTGAGGTTTGTTTCTTAAATATAAAGATGTTTAGAATATGAAATGTGATGTGATTTGAAAAGAGTACACTTTACAAAAACATGAAACACAACTAGTCATACCAAAGGAAAGTCTTTATCCAAAAATGTTGATCAGTTGGTTTACAAAGCAATCCTTTATTATTGGTTCTGAGTAAAAGGACTCAACTTATTCTGCTCTCATTAGATCAATTGAATACAGTAACTGATAAAAATTTCTGGAATTTGTTATAAGAAAATACATAATAATCCATTAGATCCACTATTCTTTGCCTAATCAGGCAAAAATTGCCACAGCTTGGATGGGAAGTTTCAACTCATCCACTATATTCACAAGTATTGCATCTTCAAATTACCATTCATCCCAGTCTTTACAGAATTCTCTTAATGAAAAATGACAATTCCATGGAAGACTGCAAAAGGCATCTAGCCTATTTCTTAGCTGAGAAAAATTAAACCTTTTAGGAAAATGGAATTATGAAGTTGCCTGAAATATGGCAGAGGATAATAGAACAAAACAGCATGCTGTGCAATAAAGTTAAAAAATGTCTTATTTTTACTTAAAAGAAACATTTTACATTATCTAATATAAAACTGAGACCTGTATAACAAGCAATATTAGAAACATTCTGTAAAAATAGAAGTTTTTTCCCTGTTCAGGATATTTTAAAGGCTATTGTTTTAATCTGATTGAATGATACTGTTTAAATTTTAATGAATATATCTTCATTCTCTTTGAGAATTACAAGTAATCATAAAAGCAGAAAATAAATTTATATGAACAAACCACCCAAAATAGGTCAACTTGCACTACCTTAATTTAATCTATTTTAGGCTAACAGAAGAAAAAACTGACTCATTTACTGAACCAGTAAACTTAAAATGAAATGCAAAATTTCTGTTTGTGCTTTATGATTACTATAAGATTACTAAGACCAATTAAAAGAAAATGTTCTGGAGAAAAATATATAAAGTAAACATTATAACTTCTGACTGGCCTAAGGACAAAAAGAAAAAAGTTAAACTATCAGAAAATGAGATCAGATAATATGAACTGGGTTAAGCCATCTTATTTTCTTTGTATTTTATTGAAATTTTATCATTGGGTTTAGAGAAAAACTAACAACCTTAGATATTATTGAATAGAGTTAGAATGTTAGTACTTTGGATACTGTAGATTTTATAAGCATAATATAAAAAAATGAAAACACAAATCTTGCTTGGATTTAGACATTTGGAATATGTGCAATATTGTATTTCTTATAAAAACCAAGATAAATTTCAGAGAGGATTTCTTTTAAGAATTTAAAATAACTATTGCCATAGATATTTAAATGAGGTAAATTCAAATAATCCGAAATATAAATACAGAATTAAAGATACAAATACTACTTCAGAATATTTGAATTTACTGGGTAGTTGAAGAGCCAATGGTTTTAAGAAAACAAAGCCATCCACCTCCCCCACAAAAAGAATGAGAAATAATATCAGTATGATGTTTTCTTTTAATCTACTTCTAATTGGTATTGTTTCCATTTCTTAATGTTAAAAACATATGACTAATATTTCTTATTACAAGCAGCTATTATACAACAGGTTGCTGAAGAGTTTTCTTGTTCTCCACATGATTAAGAAATCTTTTTAAAATTCTAATGTTTGCTCATTTGATCCAGTTGAGAAGTTTTCAACATCACCCCTTGGTACTTATGAAAGTGTTTTCCCCCATCTAAAAAAATTAAAATAAAAACAAGTTACAATAAATCAGCAAACAAAAAAAAAAATTAAGGACATTCAATATTGGGAATGAAAACTTTCATATCTAAAAGAAAAAATTGGATTTGGAAATTTCATAAGGTTAGTTTCTAACCTTGTGAAATTTCCAAATCCAAATGTATTTTAATCTTGTGTTGGCAGTTGAACAAAAATCATTAAAAGAGAAAAATGAAAGATAGATACTTACTAAACTGTCTTCATTGTCAGTGAAAGTTTCATACTGAATGTCAGAAATGGCAGGTGGGGGGCTCCCTGCATCTAATTTTTCAATCTTAATTTGTACTGGACCCTGAAAAGAATTTTTTTTTAAAAAATGACTCTTATAAATTTGATAGCAATTAAGAAACCAAATATTAATATAGTTTTGAAAAAAATTTGCAATTCAATAAATAAATTTCGCTATAAACTACAAATTTGCAAAAAGATTTCTAAACAGGTAGTGTAGCTGTGTACATAAATGAACTGACAATAGAGGATGCTATGTGTGAATGATTTGTCCAAGGCTTTAGTATCTACTGATTATCTTCAAATTGTACAACTAAACAATATCATTGCAAGACAAGCAATGGCTCTTACGGCCAATGGTAAAATATATTTAAGCCAGTTTGGAAAGATTAGTTGAGAGAAATTTTATTAGGACACAATTTAAAGCACTTTTTCTTATTACAAAGAGATTGCATTTTTAAAAATTTAGAATTTCAGGATCTGTGTTCAATGTCGATTTGATATTTGTTTAATTAAAATGGTGTTTTGTTCAATAAATCTCCAGTTTTCATCAATGATTATGAGTGTGAAAGACTATGTTTTACTATAAATACTTAGTGCATACCGAAATCTTATTTGTTCTGTGGTCATAAATATTGCCAGATTGCTGTTGAAACCAAATATAATAATAAGCAAAATAATTTATGTGCTATTGACAGAAGGGTTCAGCCTATACTGCCTACCAACAACACCTGCTTCTGATATAAGGGGCATTACCTTTCAGGAATGTCATTTATATTATTCCTCGGGGACATCAATAAAAAGCAAGAATAAAGTTTGGAAACAGTTATTTCAGTGTTACAATTCATAAACAGTGATATTACTTAATTTAAAGGCATGAATAAACTAACTACAAAATATTTTCTTTTATGTATGTTTTACCATATTATGTAAAATGAAAGCATATTTTCTGCTCTTTTTTGTGATTTTTTGATGAGAATTACTTAAATATTTGTCTAGAAGTTGAAACAAGTTATTATAATATATTTTTATTAGCACTGAGGTCATTGTAATGAGTAAAAGAATGTAGTTTGTCACCATTACTAAGTGTTGCTTGCAATACCACTTCTCTATAAACTAAAAAGATCTACAATTGGTGAATGTTTGAAAAGTTTTAGAGCTGAAGAACTGTAAAGAACTCTCATAAAAATGGATTGGTACTTTCACCATCAACCTTGGATTAGCAATATGAAAATTACTGCAGGTGCAAGAAATAAGGTAAGCAAAATATATGGCTTGAAAACAGATGTTACTACCATACAAATTACTTAAAGCAATTTAGGCTGATGGAATGGGTGGCCCACAAAAATTTGCATATTTCCATAACAAATAATCAAGCAAGCATTTAATTTTCCAAAGAACTGAATTTTGGAACAGTTTTCTAAAGTAATATGGAGTGAGGAGATCAATTCAACATTTTTGAGTGATGATTGGAATTATATTAGAAATAAGCAAAGAGGATCACCCATACTGTATTAGAGAAAAGGGAGTGACATGGTATGGAATTTCATGTCTGGAAATGTTGTTGGACTGTTGCATTAAATTAAGGATATTATGCACAGGAAGTCTTATTTGGAAATATTGGATCAGATTATGTTATCATATCATTTGGCTTGGATGTGGGATTTTCTACTTTATAAAACCCTAAATTAGTTAGAAATTACATTGATCACAATACTGTTGTAATATTACACTTGCCAGACTCAATTACCAGATCTCAACCCCAATTGTATGTGTGTGTGTGTGTGTTGTAATGGGTTAAGACTCACATCTGACACTAATAAGCCCACAAATGAGCTTCACAATAATACGGTAAAAGCTTGTGAAAATTTCCACTGGAACCAGAAAAGAATCTAATTTTAGTGATACCTGATATAGATATATTGCTGCAATAAAAAGTTCAGTAATCCTATTAGCTAGTAGTTCTTTCAGTTTGTATTTATTATTTAATAAAATGGCAAATAATTAGAGTGTCCCTGTTGGACTGTTGTATTTTTAACAAATTAACATGTAATATTCTGCTAAACTATTCATAAATTATAATTATCAATTAAAAGAGCAAAAAAGTCATTTATTCTGTGTATAGTTTTAGTTGCTAAATTAATTAAATAAGACAAAATATTTTCTATTTTTAAAATCAATATAAATGAAAATGAGACTACTTTAAAAATGTCTACATGAAAAATAGCAATAGATCAAAATGTTAATTTGAAAATAAAACCCAAATGGCATTCACTAGTCAAGATTAATTTACTTTTATATCGAGTGTGCAACTGAACTGATTTAGAACCATTGAGGTCAGCCCAAATGCCATAAATCCATTGTCGCAGAAGGTTGAAGAGTTTAGCATTTTATGTAGAGAGTTTTTTTTTGTTAGTTTCTCCACATAATTTCCACACATTATTCTCATATCAATACAAATGATCTAACTTTAGTTTTAAAAATTTCTTACACTTTTGTTAATAAAACTTATTTCAGACCAACTTATAATAATAAAAAGTATTGGATGAACATTGGTGTATGATTTATATATATATAAAACTATATTATAGTATATATATAAAACTCATATAATAGTATACGGCAAACTGAAACTAAATGCCACAAAGAAGCCAAATGGCAAAGTCAATCCTCAAAAAACATTCTGATTGGAAGAAATGATCTGGGCAGACAAAAAGTACTTCAATTTTGACTAAATTGACTACTACAGCTTTTTTTTTTTTAAATATCCAATGCCAAACATCAAAAAAGTGTTTCTTAAAAGCTTTGTGGTGAAGAAATTGGCTTTACTGGCCACAGATTGTATGGCCTAATTATTGTTAACAGAACTTTGAAATTGCACAAGCACCAAGAGATATTAGAACATAACTTGATTCTGAAGCTACAAATAAACAGAGGGGAAAAGAAAAAAGTTGAGTTGACAGCATGACAATTTGTGTTGCTATTCTGCAAAGACAAGCATTTCATAGATCAATGACTATTTTCATATTCATATATTCCATATTTTTAACCTAGCAACTGATAGGTGGTTTATAATCACACCTAAATTAATTGGATTGACAAGAAAGATTACATTGTAAAATATTTGTGTAAAATAAACACTTTTTATCATTAACCTTTGGATTATTGCTATACACGCACAACACACACACATATATATATATATATATATATATATATATATATATATATAATAAAAAGGCTTAAACACTAATATTCCATGGTCATTGAGTTCTACCTGGATTCTATCCTCTTGGAATTATTTTTTATACAAATATATATGTATATGTATGTATTTATGTATATATATTTATACATTTTAGATATATGATTGCATACGTATGTGTATATTTACCACTAATATTATCTATCTATCTATCTCTCTCTCTCTCTCTATATATATATATATATATATATATATATATATATAGAGAGAGAGAGAGAGAGAAGATAGATATACATTCAATACTTGGACATACAAAATCCTCTTGACAATATTGGCCAATAATTCTCATTTGTAATTGCTTTGGAATTGAGAAGACATGCCACTATTGTTGAAAGCTTAAAATAACATTAGAAGTGAGATTGATGTTAATTTATCCTTGAATTAAGACACCGAATGAGAAGAGGTAAGACTGAAAAGAAAATTTAATACAAATGAAATTTTGCAAAGTAGCAAATAGGTCACCAGAGGAATGAATAATGCCACTTTTACAGATGGTGAGGTATGTACAGATTATTATTTCTAAAATGTTAATAGAAAGAATTTAAATGTCAGTGAAGCTGCCAAAGCTTGAAATAAAAGGGTGATGATTGTCAAATAGCATTATATAAACAGACATTTTTTATGGAAACTTGTATATTCTTAATGATATATTCAATAATGGTAATACTGATGAAAAAATAATAAGCATTGTATAAGTTGTGGATATTAATTTGTGCTGTAGAGGATTAGAGCAAGGTCTAAAAACACTGGAATTATAAGAAGGTCATTTATTTTCAAAAGTAACAAAGTTTAACATTTATCAGTAACTTACCAGGCTGAACCAATGTGGGATATATAAAATATAAGCATTAATTTATTTTAGAGAAAAATAGAGTGAAAATCTTGAGGAGTAAGATTATTGAATATGGTATTATGAAATTAATGGCTCAATTCTTAAGTAACAAAATTTTTAATCTTTTTAAATCACCACACATAATCAACAATTTTTACAGTTTAACAAATTAAATTTGAAATTAATATGAAAGATAACTAGATGGTGGTAGACTTAATGCTTAGTCCAATTTTCAAGATATAATTATCTACATATAAGTATAACATGTTAATTTTAATTTAGATTTATTAGAGATATTTACAAAACTAATTTGGTGGTGCAAGATACTATGCAATTCAAGGAGTATTCTTCATACTGTAAATAAATATAATATAGTCATTAATAATTTTTTTTTAATTTCAGATATATAAAGATTATAAATAACTTTCAGAAATACATATTCTAAAATGTGGAATATATTCTGAAGTTATTGCATGAGAGGAACACAAGATTGAAAATTTCAAAAGATTTGAACAGAGATCAAAAAAAAAAAAAAAAAAAGATTGAAAACATTGTCAAGAACAAAAAATGTCTTTAAGAATATCACAAAAATATATTTGAGAAAAATTTAAAAAAGAAAAAGTGGACTGACCAGCAAGAAAATATTTGAATAAGCCGGTGTGGAAATTGTAAGCAGATAGAAAAAATGTAAAAGATTACTCCACCTCTACTTGGTCATAGTTGGTTGAATGATCAACCAATATTATCAAGTGAAGACAGAGGAATGTGTTGGGTAAAATAATAGGTTTCTTTAAAGTTGAAAGATAAAAGCAGAGAATTATTGTAAATTATTGGACAAAACTTTTTTTTTGAATGATACAGTTCAAAACCAAGAAGTTTAAACCTAAAGAGTTTCTGAAGGATCATTATTTTGCATTCATGCAAAATAATGATCCTTCAGCTTCAGCAAAGTTCATTACTACCTTATTAAAAAGATGTCAAATTAATGTATTGAATTCCAGCCTCTCCAGTTATTAATCCAACAGAAAACTTGTGGTTGATCATTAAAAAATATGAGAATGGAAAACTATTCAAGCAAAGATCTGAGAAATAATAAAAACTGCTGCAAATAATGTTAAAATGAAAACAATAGCAGATTTAAATTTAATGAAGGGAAGACTGATCAAAGTTATAGAATGTTGGGGAACCCATATTAACAATTTATTCATGTGTACAGGATATTGTTTTTATCAAATATTTTTCTATGGCCAATTAGTATATTAATATACATTGATATTGACTTTTGTTTGTGCAATATAACCTGATACTTCAAATTATTGGCAATATTTTTTTTATTATGGACAGATATTACAAGCTAAAACTTACAATACTTTATTCACACCAACAAAGTTATTTTAATTATTTCTGAAAAAAAAAACAAAACAAAAAAACAAAGAAAAAAAAACAGATAAGCTGAAATTCATGTAGTATATTTATCACAAAAATGTAAGTATATACTGAAAGTTTTGCCAACATCAGGTTATTAATACTAATTCTATTATGAAAATAGACTTGCATAATAAAATCTGACTAATTCTTATGTCTCCATAAAGAATAATTTATTTTTGTACTTTTTTTATTTGTTGGTATAATGTTGATTTCTCCTTTATAAAGCATCCATAGTATTACATAACACAATGCTTTTGATATTTCAATATCCCTTAACTAGTTGACTAATCCTTTGCAGTACAATTTATAATGTTGCACTCTAATGAGTGAAACATGAGACTGGAACAAACTAGACATTTTTCTACCATATTTAACTATTTATACAAGGTCAAAGTTTCTTCTAATTTTATATCAAGTCTTGTTAGTCATCCAGTGTATATATATATATATATATATATATATATAAACAAGAATTATTTTCTGACAAATAAAAATGAAAAACCTTGCAATATGAATTATAAATTGTTTTAAATTTATGATGACAAAAATATTAAAAATACACAAGGAAATATCTGATATATGTCTAATGAGATGTAGTCAAAGTCTGCCTTACAAATCTATTTTTATTAATTTAAGAAAAAAAATGTCATTTTCTAAAACAAAAGTAATTTATGAATATTAACTTTTAAAATGTCTGAAACCTTAATTTCTTGTAATAAATTGCAACTGCAACAAAAAATTATACAGAATAGTTAATCTAAATCAGAAACTCTAAAAAGTAAAGATTGTTCCAGGTTTCAAAATAGATTAATTCTTATAGCTAATCATAGCTTTAAACTTAGAAATATAAAAAGCCTTTTAATTATTGTTCTTTTCAAAGGTTTCAGTTTCCTGTTCTCTTTAGGAAAAAAAGATTTAATTAGATTACAAAACAAAGATTGATATAAAAATAAACATGCCATATACAATAAATAAAATCATTCTTATTTAGAAATTTTCTTCTGTATCAGCTTATTTATTACAGCAGAAGGGTAAGAAACTCTTTTTGACTTTCTTATTCATTACATAAATTATGTATCTATATTTATCAATATTAAAAAATAACATCCAAGCCAAATGACAAAAACAAATTGATTAATATACTTTGATAAAATATTTGATAAAATATTGAAAACTAATTTTGGGAAGGTCCCAGAGACTAATTTCAAATTTTATAGAATGATGACACTGAGCAATATTTAACAAAATGTTAGATATTATCCAATCTTTTCTTTAAATAAAGTTACAGAAAAATAACTGAGGTAACTAAATTTTGGTCAATTAATGAAAATTAAATATGTTAATATATTGTGGAATTTTTATGATACAATCAAAATTAGGTACATTTAAATTTTGTTTAGACTTCTACCTATGTTTTTATACTTGCTAAAAAGAAAAAAATTAATTTTAAGAAAAATATTCTAAATATAATGGATTTTCTTATCTATAAAATACATAAATTTTAAAATTGAAATTGACAATACAATATTTCAATTGAAAACTCTAAAGGTAATGTCAAAGTATAATGAAATGCCACATAACTGAAATATTGTAGGTTTCTATTGTAAGGTACTGACAATGTTAATAAATTTATAAATGTAATTTTAAAATTGCTAATGATTTTATATTGATAAAAATAAGCAGATTAGAAACTTAAATGCAAAAACCATTTTTACAATTAAAAATAGATTACATCTATTAGGAAATTTTGCCCAAATATCTAAAGTGAGATACTGGAAAATGTGTCCATTGCCAAATCTTTAAAAGTTGGCATTATAATGGGAATGCATAAATGTCTGAGATAAAGCAAAAAGAAAATTTCAACATTAGAAAATAAAACTATTTTTAAGAGGAAACTTAATTATACAATTTTTTATTTTTCAGTTTTTATTTTTAGAAAAAATAAGAAATGCTTGTTTTCACTTGTTTATATTAGCAACAAACATAATTGTGCAAGATAAAATCTTTTTTTCAGATTTTTAGAGAATAGTTATTTTGGTATCCATTTTTAGAAGCCAACCAGAAAAGTTTATTTTCAATAATTTAAGTTTGCTACAAAAATGTGATTAACCATGCTATCATCAATTTCTTCATATGAAAGCCAAAAACATCTATTTATCCTTAAATGAACAATTAAATAATTTTATTTTGATTGACAAATTAGTCATTTGAGCCAGTAACAAATTGTTTACTGAAAATACTATGTCATTAATGCAACAGAGAATAATGTTACAGTTACATAAATGAAAAGTTTATTTATACTAAAATTTTTAGGAAGAATTAGTAAAACATTTTGCTCTCTGGTTAACATGGTTAGAAATCTATATAAATGACTATGTGTTTCTTTTGAGATAGCTGTCCAGATTTAAGCTTGATTTTCTATAGAATATCAAAGTTTCATCAAGGTTCTGAGAATATGATTTTAAAATGTGATAGAGGTAAGTAAAATAAAAGTACAATACCTCATTTAAGTCAAACAATGGACTGCCAAAAAAATTAAGCAATCATTCTTATATAGATCAAATTATTTGATTTTTAACTCAAGTTATGATTTGAAGACAGTCAAATCTTCTGAGCTTCTAAAGATATGGAAACTTGATATTTAATTAGCAAGATATTACTTTTTTACTGATGTTACTAAAACACAAATGCATGGTAAATTAGTAAGAAGTATAGATATTGTCCCTGTTCCTACTCATTACTAATTCATTTAATTAAGCTTATTTCCATGTAAAATTCATTTAAAAAAAATAATTTAACAATAATCCAATTTTTTTTATCTTAACCACTAATAACTTACAATTTAATTTGGTTTTACCAAAAACAAGAAATTTTTTGGCAGCACCAGTGATGCTGAATAGACATTAAGTGCTAAATGTGTCACACATACATGTCAAGGTACAAGGTGCATAACAATACAATAACAGATCACAAATGACAAAAAATAAATTGCCAAAAAGTTATGAGAGTTATAGTGTATATAAAAATAATTTAGCTTAAATCAAACAAAAAAAAAACTCACAGTTAGGGTCACAAAGGTCAATAATACATAAAGAACTGTAATTCCACTATACAATTCAATGTGCTTTTCTCTTGAGAGTGATATCTTGTGTTAAACAATGTCAATCTCTCTCCAATGTTAACACAACCCATACCACATGGTCTGATTGTTAGGAGGCCTTTTGTAGCTGCTGCTTTTGGCATTATTTCAAACATTCTTCTTCACTTAATATATGATTTAAGAGTCAGAAATATGAGCCACCATTTCACTACAAGTAAAAGTAACAATACTTAGTGTTGGGGGCTACTGTAACTTGTTTAATAATCATTACTATTCTTATTATTATTGTAATATGTCATTCTTGTAAAACCAATATTCAGTATTTAAAGAATAAATGGGTAAAGTTGTTAAATTCTTGAAATATACTAACACAGACACAAAACAGAAATTACATTTGTTAACTGTTCTGATTAGTTGATTTAATATTTACATTTCAATGAAATAAGCACTAAAATTAATGACTATATGAGGTTACAGTTTTACTTTGAATAACTAATTTTGAACTTTGTTTTTATAGGCTACTTTAACAAAATATTCAGGTTACATAATATACCACAAACAAAATTTAGTAAATGTTTTCCTTTTAGAAAATAATATAACATGGAGATTAGCATAAAACAAATTACATCTTATAAGTTGTAGCATAATCCAGTGCCCATGAATATAATGTATATTTTTTTGTTTGATAACAAAGAGTTAATGCACAAATTTCTACAAAGTTTAAGTTATAGATATTGTCATAATCAAAACAGAGTAGAGATTTCTTAAGCTTTTGTAATTACTGTACTGACAATAAATAATGATGCTATTTTTCCAGCAGATTTGTGATATCTCATCAGAATGAAAGTAAGCATTGTTCTTGCCCAAAGCACAAAATTCTGAGCCATTTGCTTCATGATTGATGAAAAACAGAATACTGCTATAACTTTAGTTATAAAATAGACATTTCTTTTAAAGATCTTTCAATACTATTATAGTTCTTGTATGATTTCTCTTCCAAAGAGAAGTTTGTTTTAAGCATGCAAATGATTCATTTAGGAGAAAATATGAACAACTTTGGTTTAATTCTTTTAGGGTAGTAATAGTAAAATAATTTTCCTGTGTGTTTTAAAAAAGTGAAAGATCAATTTCTAAAGAAAAAAAATAGAGGACAAAGTAAATGAAAGTGAAAAATACAAAAAATATATGAATTATATTCTCATATAGAGTGAAAAGACAGGGCTGGAAAGAAACAGTATAAAGACAGGGCTGGCAGGCAACAATATAGAGAAAGGTCTGGAAAAAACAAACTGCACTAAAATGAGAAAATATGTTTATAACAAACTTAGAGAATAGAATGATGTTTTTTGTTCTCTCCTAGTAAATTGTAAAATATTTCATCTTTATTAAAATTTAATTTTATATATACTGTACTGAGCAAATGTTTTGAGCAACAGTCACTTTCTGTTTTGTTACTAAGGAGCCAGATTTTCTTGTAAATTTTTAAGATGGTCTTGAGCAATAGTTCTTCAAGTTTTCTAAAGGTCTTTCAAAATTTCTTTGGACATTGGCTTTTTTTTTTAGCCATTTTTAGTCCAGAACTTCTATTTAAGCATTTTCAGAGGAAAATTTTTTCATTTGAATTACTCAAGGCACCTAACACAAGGTATCAGCAAGTGTTGTGTATACACATACCAGGCAATCTACCAAATATCCAATTTTAAATTGTATCTTAAAAGACTTTGTTCTAACTTTTAATTGGCTCTTTAGAGAAATAATAATTTGTTCCCATTTCTTTCCAAGTGCTGTATCTTCAAAACATGGCAAAGATAACACCATTTTGAAAATCATAACAGTAATTTTACATCAACATGGTGATTCCCAAAGAGCTTTTAGCCCAAAACTTGGCATATATTGGCATGGTATATAGTGTAACCATAAAAGGTTTGTAGGAAACTGAATAAGTGAAGAAAATAAGTAAAAGGCCTAAATAACTATCTACAGTAAATGAACAGTATTTGAAAGTTATGTTGAAAAATCCAACAAAGACCCTACACAGGACCTGAGAGATGCATCTGGCTCTTCAATTGACTCATCTACTGTTCACTGAAGCCTCATAAGATATAATCACAATGTATAGGGTGTATGTCAAGAAGCCATTGTGATGGAAGAGAAACAGAGATAAGACCAAATGAAATAAGAACTAGAGTGAAAATCAGTGACAATGATATATCTAGATCAGATATTGAAACTTGTTAATACACCAATTTGAATCAATATACATAAATTAAAATTTTTCATGACCCCAAAATAATTTAATGTAAAAAATTTAAAATTGTAGCTAACAGAATGTACACAAGTTAATACCTGATCAGTATCAGCTGGGTCACTGTGAAGAGGGGGTATCGTGTTGAAAAAAACCCTAATGAACCTCAGCTAGAATCATCACTGGTGATATGTACCAAAGCATCCAATAGATGTATTTTATGAAAAGTAGGTAATAGCTTTTGGTGATCTTTCTCTTTCATTTCTTTGACATTCCAAATTGTGACAAAAAATATCCATTGATTTCCCCAACAAATGGTAAAAAAAAAAAAAAAATTTCACCTAAAGTAAAACAGTTTGTGCTTGCTTTGTGGTTAAGGTAATTGTGTACCAGAACTAGTGATTGGAGTTAGAATCCAGGTCAAAATTTTGAATGCTGATTTTCATTTTGGACAAACTGATACAATCCTTGTGCAAAGGAATAAAAATAATAGCATTGTAATCAAAATAGTTACATCATTTTAAATCAAAGTCTGTTTTCTGATTTTTATAATACAAAAGTTATTCGATTTGTGATTTTTGCATGAGTGAACTCAAGATTTTGTAATTTCCACTGAAATATTTCATTAACTCCTGAAGCTTATTATGCAAATAACACATGTAAACATGTTACAAAAAGTATAAGGAAAAAGAAAATTATGAATAAAAACATTTGTACTGTAATGTAAATTCTATGCCATTTCTACTGCTAAATATAAAAATATTTATTGTGGCATTTATATGGAAAGTTTGCCAACCTTGGGAAAAATTGTAATCAGGCAGTTAATATCCAGTAACAGATTGTAGATCCAAAGAGTTTGCATCACTTAAAATAAAACTGTACTGGATAGAATATAGTTTAATGTTAATATTATTTTCTCAGAGAATGGTGTTATAAGACACCAGATATATCAGCTGGCATTTTTTTTTAATTGCTTTTGCATAAACATTTCATAAAAAAAAAATCATAGTTGAAAAAATCATATTTGACCAAGATGATTTGCTACACATTTCCATTGAGTATTTTTAAAGATTATTACAGTAATTAAAACATCTATTTTGGACATGTTGAGCACTATAAATATGAAAGTACTCTTTTAAAATGACTTGCTCACAGAGAAACATTACTCACCAATCTTAATGTTGTTAAGATTAAGCTCCAGTAGGAACAGGTCTTATTTAAATAGCCACCAAAATATTAAATATTATAATCAAATCAGAACTAGCTTTATAAATGCGTTAAAAAGTTGTACATTATTTTTTCCTAGTTAAGATTACAGATTATATAATATTCTTAATTAGAAAAAACACCACTACATCCTTTTTAACTTGTGGAAGAATTTATATTTAAGATAAAACTTTGAGAAAATGAATCAAATATGAATCAAAATAAGGATATGTGAATGTTTTATAAAATCTTATAACTTAGCCATTTATAAAACAAAAATATATTTAATACCTGTGAAGCATCCAAGCTTATCTTTACAGTTTAAAAACTTTAAATATTGACTTTAAAATAAAAACTATCATTTTGTTATTCATAACTTCAATTCATAAACAAAGTGAATTAAATTGTGCATCAGGACTTTTTTTAATGTCATGTCATTTCAGGATGTAGATGATCATGGCTTTCCACAATGTTATCGGAATTATCATGACCTCTTGAGGAAGATAGTGAAGTGGTTTCTTGTTGCCTTCTCTATGATTTTAAATTTCAAAGTAACTGTTCTCCTTGAATGGGAGCTACCCAAGGCTAGAGAAACCAGTCTAACCTGCTATTTAACCCATAACTTGAGAGAAAAGAAATAGATTCTTACCTTTCCTAGGGACATTATTTCAAATAAAACAAATTAGGATGAAATGTGAACTTGGCTTGTTACAAAGAACAGTACAGATTCTTTTGAATAATCTTTACATATTTCAAAGTAAAAAGAATATGGAATATAAAATATAAAAGTGATTGACTCCGCATCCCCTTTTGTAGGAGGAAACCACCATTTGATCAAGTGTGCTTTCTCACCTGGCTAAAAAGAATGTCATAGTAAAGAAGGCTCTAATTCCCCACATTTTTCCTCTTACCATGACATTCTTCATAGCCAAATGGTAAAGCATGCTGCATGAAATGGTGGCTTGTCTTACAAAGAGGGGATACAAGTTTGATCACTACCAGAGAACATGTTTTATTTACTAAAATTTCTCAAATGCATAGGTTGATAGACATAATATATTGTTAAAAAATAAAAAAATGGAGTGTATTTCAGACACATGTCCTTTATAATAACATTTGATGTAAAGAATGTTGGATTAAAAATAAAAACCATTATTTCTTTAAAAATTACACCTGTTATTGCAAATTCTATAAATAAATGAATTAAGTAACCACTGCTGCCCAGATACTGTACTCAATTCAGACATAGCAACACTTAAAATTTATTTAAATAAAAAAATAGCATTGTTAATAACATGACAGATTTTTTATCTGAAAATTTAAAGGCAGTATTATTTATGGAACATAATTCTATTACATCAAAATTCTCCAAACTTGTGAAAAGTGAATACAAACCCAGTATATAACAATTTAAGTTTCAAGATTGTTTCTTTAAATATGAAAGTAGACTGACATTACAAACTATAAAATATGATGTGCCTAAGATTTTATACATTCAATCTCAAAAAATATTTTATTTTCAGTGCATGACTTTACTCATTCCTACTAATAACTGAATAAAACTAAATGATATTTATTTTTATTTATTTTATTTATATATTTATTATTAATTTATTTTTTTTAAAGAAAATATTCTTTTAATATCAAATTTTTGTGAAAAATCTTTTTGTGGAAGCCATTTAAAGAAAACAAAAATAGGATACT